TAGTGATGCCTGACTCCCTCAGAGACGGCAACTAGAAATCCAGGTGGATTTGGAAGGCTGTTTAAGAGCAGAGCTTACGGGGCCAAGACTTGGTAGAGTGCTTGCTTAACATACACAAAGCTCCGGGTTTGGTCCTCAGCATGATGTAAATCAGGAGCCCATACATGACACACGTCTGTAGTTACAGCACTCCGGAGGCTGAGGCAGGAGGATTGGAAGTGTGTAGCAGTGAAGTTGACTAAGGACCCTTCTCTATTCTTCCCTTTCCCTGCAGCTGTTCTCTGGGAACCACCCACGGTGGAAAGGAAGGCAGGCTCTTCCTTTCTTGGGTGGGCTGTGCGTCTCTGTGATTTTCTGAACCAGTCTCCCAAGTCACTCTCACCACGAAGACCCAAATTGGGGCGTTTTCTCTCTGACTTGCAGAACATGGAAACCAGCACTGGGGTTTTCAGAATTCAACAAGTTGTCATAGGAAAATCACGGATGTGGTCACCGTGAAAGCTGCGAAGGCGTGGAGGCTCAGCTCCAACCTCTTCTGCCCCATCAAGTGAGGCTTCCCCAGCTCCAGTCATCCGGGCCTTGAGGCCTCTTCCTCCCAAGCAATTCGCTGCATGCAATGGGTCTTTCAAAGAAGGATGGCTCAGCTGCTGAGCTCCATGTCACAGAGCCCACATCGGTGGGAGCAGGTCCGTGTCCTGACCCTCCTCATCACTAGAGACAGAAGCTGCCCCAGCAAGAGCCTCCAGGCCGGTCTGAAAACACAGGGGACTGAGATCTACTGGCTTTGTTTTCTAAGATGAATCAGTTTTGAAGCATCTGCCTCGGTTACTTTTCTATTAATATGAGAAAACACCATGACTGAGCAACTTGGGGAAGAAAGGGTTTAGTTTTGCTTACAACTCTCAGGAGGTCACACTATCACAGAAGGAAGTCAGGGCAGGAACTCAAGGCAAAAACTTAAGTAGGGACCATGGAGGAACGCTACACATTGGTTTGCCCAGCCTGCTTTATTATACAACCCGGACCACCAGTCCAAGGGTGATACCTGGTCACAGAGAGCTGGCCTTCACATATTAATCACCAATCAAAAAATGTCCCACAGGCCAATCTGGTGGGGGCGTTTTCTCAGTCGAGGTCCCCTCTTCCCAATGACTCATGCTTTACGTCAATTTGGGAAGGAGGGGAAGTAAATAGAAAAGAAAAATAAATCAATAACAACAACAAAAACAAAACCCAACCGGCGCACACGGTTTTCCTCTTCTCAGCAGGCAAGGACCGTATTGAGGCGATTCTCTGAAGTCCCTTCTGGGTCATGTGACCCAGCAGGGCAGCAGTTCAGCTGGGTAGGGAGAAATGTGCTTTTCGAGGCTGTGGAGGCGGCTCATCCATTCAGAGCACCTACTGCTCTTGCAGAGGACCTGGGTTCATTTCCTAGCACTGGTGGCTCCAGTTCCAGGGGAATCTAACACAGTCTTCTGGCCTTTGAGGGCACCCATCCACGTGTGGCACTCACTTACACAGACACAAACACACACATAAATTAAAAAATGATTTTTTATTAAAAAAGGAAGTCCACATCACAGAATCATTGAGTGAGGTTAACAGAACTAAAAGAAAACCATGATCCACCTTAGATCCCTGACCTGTGAGACCCGCCCATTCACTGAACAATGCAGCAATAGTCGCTGGGTGGGGAAATGCCATCATGGAGTGGGTGTGACCGGGGCAGTGGGGTGGCAAGACCGGACCCTGACACAGTCAACCGGGGAGACATAAACGGGAACCTGCACATGGCAGGTGCCTCACGCGTCTTTACTGAACAGGTAGCACAAGTAGGCGTCTGATGAGTTTATAACTGCAATATTCAAAGGTGGGGGAGCCAGGGCCTGGGTCTGACCCAGCCCAGCCCTCCCTGGGGAGGCAAGGTGGAGGCCAAGATTGGAGGCAAGAAAGAGTTAGCACCTTTGAATACATGGGACTTGAAAGTAGGAGGGAGAATGGAAAACCTACAGGAGTAGAGAGAAGGGGTAGAGAGGACTTTAGGTGTGTATATGTACATATATGTAAGTATATGTGTATGTATGTATATGTAAGTATATGTGTATGTATGTATTTTTCTGAGGGCAAAATACCACCTATCAAAGGCTGCAGGTTGTAAAAATTCACACACGCACACATGCACGCACGCACACTCAGAACATAAATGGATGTTATGCTAGGTGACATAAATCAGGCCCAGAGACAACTCTAGATGGTTCTCTTACGTGTGGACTCCACCCGTGGAGATCACAGAAATGACCACATAGTGACTACCAGTCAAATGGTACAGAAGGATAATGGGTTTCAGAGACCTGCCACGCACACACACACACACACACACACACGCACACACACACGAGCACATTTGTACGCTCAGACTCAGGAAGAAAATAATAGTTCTGACAGATGAAGATGTTTATAGTGTTACTGTGGCAATCATTTAATATTGCAGAATGAAAACTTGTACCTTAAGCAATGGCATTTTATTTGTCTACCAGTACTTCATTAAAATCGTTTTTGTTGTTTGTTTGTTTGTTTTTTCTCTTAAAACAGGATTTCTCTGTGTAGCTTTGACTGTTCTGAAGCTCAGAGATCTGCCTACCTCTGCCTCCCAAGTGCTGGGATTAATGAAGTGAGCCACTATGTCTGGCAATGACTTATTTTTATTATTTTTAACTCTGTGTGTGTGTGTGTGTGTGTGTGTGCGCGCGCGCTCTAGTATATGCAGATGAGTGCTGGTGGAGTCCAGAGAGGCACCATGTTCCTCTGGAGTTACATGACTGACGTGGGAGCTGGGAATCGAACCTGGGTCTTGTGCAAGGGCAGGTGCTGTTTTTAACTGTGGAGCCATCTCTCCCACCGTCTCTCCCGCTGTCTCTGCAGCCGTCTCTGTTCATCTCTCCCACCGTCTCTCCTGCTGTCTCTGCAGCCGTCTCTGTTCATCTCTCCCACCGTTTCTGCAGCCGTCTCTTCCACCATCTCTGTCCGTCTCTCCCGCTGTCTCTGGAGCCGTCTCTGTTCATCTCTCCCACCGTTTCTGCAGCCGTCTCTCCCACCATCTCTGTCCGTCTCTCCCGCTGTCTCTGCAGCCGTCGCTCCCACCATCTCTGTCTGTCTCTCCCGCGGTCTTTGCAGCCCCCCAAACTGTTTTTTAACCGACACCAACTACTCCCACTCACTGTCAGTCACTTTCGTCCAGAGGAAGCCACAGTCAGTCTTTCTCCCTTCTCCACCTTCCTTCTGTGGGCTCCAGGCTCCATTCTGAGCTGCAAATAAGGACACCCCTCCCACCCCGGACTAGGGACTCCACAGCCTGAGCCTTGCTTTATCTCTGGGTAGACTCACCTTTCTCAAGAACTTCTGTTACTGTAACCCACATGTTACTGTATCTGTCCTTCAAACCCTGTCAGATCAGAGAAGGAAACTCTGGAGGAAGGTGCTACATTGTTGAGCAAGAGCTCACGAAATGCTTGGAGAGAGGCGTCTGCTTTTGCAGCACAGTGACCCTGCATTGCATAACCATTGCGATCGCCCAGGCTGAGATTCAGGTCTGTGCAGCTGATCCCCGAGGGCTTGCACTTACTTCCTGGTGGACATGAAGGGTGGGTTGGTTGGATCTGGCCCACAGAACTTCTTTCCCGTCCTTTTCAGCTGATGTCCACTGAGGCCCTTCACGTTTTTAATCATGCCTGAGGAATTCCTTTCTGGGACTCAAAACCTGGAGTCAATAATTCCTATCTAACCAGCAGGCCTGACTTGTCTCCAAAAAATATCGTAAAAGATTCCGCTTGCAAGAAGCCCCCGAGAATCAGCGAGCAGGCCTCTTCTTCTGTGTTCTATGGTCCCTTGCCAGCCGTAACGAGGGTCAGGGAAGGCAGAAATCAGCCTGAACTAGGCATTAAAAAGTGTGTCCTTTGAGCTGGTTATAGTGGGACACTATGCTTTAATCCCAGCACTCGAGAGGCAGAGACAGGTGGATCTCTGTGAGTTTGAGACCAGTATGATCTATATAGTGAGTTCCAGGACAGCCAGAGCTGTATAGTGAAACTGTCTCAGAAAATAAAGAAATAGTAAATGTCTCCTTTGTTCACCAGACAGTTCATTTCTACTTCCATGTTATACCCACATACCTGATTTACATCTACTGAAAGTCTAGGAACCACATAGGAAAGAAAATATGAAATTTGTCTTTCTGAGATTGACTGAATTCATTTTAACATGATAGTCTCCAGTTGCATCCATTTTCCTGCAAATGACGTAACTTCATTCTTCAGGGCTGGGAAAAATCCCATTGTGTATGTACCACATTTTCCTTACACACCACCATGTTGCTCAACACCCAGACTGGCCCCATAATTCAGCTCTTGTGAACAGGGCTACAGTAAAGACTAGCGTGCAAGTGTCCCTGTGGTGGGGTGACTTACTGTCCTCAGAGTATCACCCAGGAGTGATAGGTACAGCTGGGTCAGATGGACGATCTATTTTTAGTCTTTTGAGGAGCCTGCATTTCATCATGGCTGAATTTCATCATAGGTCACTAATGGGAAGGTGAGAATGGAGAAGGGTACAGGGTAAAGAGGGGCATGATTAACGTCCATTATAACCATATGTGAAAGTGTCCCTATGCAACATAGTAGCATTACAATGAATGCACACAGTTGAATTAAACAACAACAAAAACCCCCACCCTCGGCACTCAAACTTTAATGGTAAAGTTGGTTTAAAAGATTATTAAACGCTTGATAATGTACAAATTGTGTTAACTTTTGCAAAAGTATTTTGAATGAAATACTAAAAGCCTGGTGAGGAATCGGGTCTTCTGGTTCAGCCAGTGTGCCTCTAGGAAAGGCTGGGGTCTAGGCAATGAACTTGGCGACTTCTGACATTGGGAAAAATGGGCATTGTTTTTAAACTACCCAAGCCCTCCTGCCCAGGAGTGGCACTTCCCATAGGGGGCTGGACCCTCCTACATCAACCAGCTGTCAAGAAAATGCCGCAGAGGCCCTACTGGTAAGCTGCTGGGAGCATTTTCTCAGTAGAGGTTCCTCTTCCTAGATAACTCTATCCTGTGTCGAGTTGACAAAAACAAAACAAAACAAACAAAAAAACCCAGCACCAGGACACTGGCTTTCACACAATGTCTTTTGTTTCTGGTTTTTACAACAGTCATTTGGAGGTTGGTTCTGCTTCTGCCCTGGAGAAGACAAGAGACAGAGACCGGCCTCTGGCATGCTGAAGATATCCCCACAGGCTTCCTGGATCAACTCCACCCAGGTCTCCCACCTAAGTCCCCTGGAGTGGAATGCCCTCTGTGTCAGCTTCTGAGAGGAGCGGTCTATCACCAGCATGACTCGTACTGGACGGTGCCAGCTGTGTACTGTGCCGGCCAAAGGAAGGTAGCTGTCATAATAAAGAGGCCCCGCAGTGGCGGAGGTGGCTGCTCAGCAAACTTCCCCGTAAAGAGCCAGTGAGTAAATAGTTTAAGTCTTGCATGTCACGTGGTCTCTGCTCTACTTCTCGGTCACAGTGAAAGTAGTTGCACCAGGCAGGTTTCCGTGGCTGTAACAAATACCTCAGATAAATTAACTTGAAAGGAAGAGAAGTTTGTTTGGTTTATGGTTATAGAGGTTCTAGCCATGGTTGCTGGGCAGTCTGTCCTGACAGGAGAGCATGGGGGAGCAGAGGGGGCCATGTAAAAGGGCTGGGATCCCAATGTCCCCTTCGAGGGCACACCCCTGATGACCTAACTTCTTTCTAGTAGAGCTTTTTCTGACAGGGTCTGACTTTCCTAGGACTCTATACATGGACCAGCCTGACCTTGAACTCACAGAGATCCACCAGCCTCTGCCACTCAAGCCAACCAGAAGATGAGGTTTTTATTGCTTGTGTGTCAATGGTGAACTGAGTGTCTCTACAAAGTGTTAGGGACCCAGGTTACTTCAACTGTGCTGTCCTGCCTTCCCTAAGAGTTGAGCGCCTGTGTGTGTGTGTGTGTGTGTGTGTGTGCGTGTGCATGCTTGTTTGTGTACATGTGTGCACGTGTGTATGTGTGTG